TCTCCACGTCCCGCAGTGGGATTCGAACCCGCGACGCGACGTAAGGATCAACTCCTTATTCCGCGACACTAGAGCAGACGCTCTAACCACTGCGCCACGCGGAAATACGATTGAAAAAAAATCAATTAAAAAAAAGAATTCCTTTTTGTTTTTATGGAAAAAAAGTAAAATTTTGTCCATCGATTACATTGTACTAACTTTTTTTCAGAAGCCAGTTTGACCAGATGAACAGAATAAAATTTTAATTCAAAAAAAAAAAATTTTGGGACAGTTACTGAGAAAAATATTTAAATTTTCATTTTTCATACTTCGTATGTTTCAATAAAACTGGTCGCTATTTCGAAGAAGGGACATTTGTAACAATATGTCGCTCCTCATACATAATGCTCTGGGGGAAATCGCTCTCTATAACTATTACACAGAGTAGGAAAATTGAAACTGGTGAGGGATTTTCGTAGGGGAAATCCTACTCTAGATTCATTTTTCCGGGGGGGGGGGTCCTCCTCCAGAGTCTATTTTCGGGGGGAAATCCTACTCTAGAACCAGTTTTCCGGGGGAAAGATTTTAGAGGGGAAAGCCTAATCTATAAGACCGGCATTTGAACTTCCCATATAGAAAACCTGCTTTTCTTCTCTCAATACAATTTTAAGTTTTAAACATAAAAGCTACCATTGATGTCTCTTCCTTTGGGTATAGGTACATTTATCACTTGGCCTTTCTAGTAAATAGAAAAACCCAAATTAGATCTGACTGGAGCTATGGCAGTTGGACGACAGCTTCATGTCTGATTCCACATTTTATTATTGACCTTCCATTTTGGATATAAACAGTGCACCCATGTTTTGGCACCCATTTCGCAGGTTTACCATATATTCTTTTGTTAAAATGTTTATATTTTAATACATCCTTGGCACATTAAATGAGTGTTTTCTTGCAAGCATTTGTAAGGAAATAAAGCATTCCGTTGTCAAAAATATTTTTTTAGATCATTTCCTTCGTCAGATTGAATCAACTATTGTGATGATCAAATGTTTGATATCTTAGCAACGTCTCTCACTGTAAAATTTTCAGATATCATATTGGTGTCACTACAGATTTTGATCGACCAGATCGACTGCAATTCCTCAAGTCCCCCTTTCCATTTTTGAATTTAATTTTCAAATCCACCTGAACACCAAACTGCTTGAAAGACTAGTTTTTCCAAATATCAAAACCCTATCTTTTATTAGATTCTTCAGCGATATATGTAATGAACTGCAGTTTTCACACAAGTCCTCATTTTTATCTTTTTCACAGAGACCTTTTTTGAACAGTTTTCAGCTCAGTGAAGGGACCATGCTTACTTTAAAAAATGAATTTCTTTGAGAAAAAAGTAGGAAAACTCAGCGGTTTTCGGTGATTAGTTCTCAAATAGAATTTTTCTAGTGTGAAAAAATGAAATTAACTGCTTCAACATTTATTATGATATACATATTTCATTAGTTATTGGTAGCTCAGTCGGTAACGCATTTTCTGGCCAAAAACCATCTCAAATGAAGAGCTGTTTAAAAGGACGAACACCACTCCTCTATCCCAAGTTATATAGAAAAGAAAATGGCTGTGGATAAAACACATATGTCGAATGCACCCAACTTCCATCACAAAGGGTTGCATTGAGATGGAAAACCGGTAAGAGAAAGAGAGGAGGACTAAAAGAGACCTGGAGAAGATCAGTGGAGAAAAAAATAAAAGAAAACAACTGGACATGGGGGCAGGTCCAGAGATGGACACAAGATAGACCAACATAGAAGTCTCTGGTGACGGCCTTATGTGCTGACCAGTACGAAGAGGACTAAGTAAGTTCAGTTGGTAAAGTGCTCGCTCCGTGATCGGAAGGTCGTGTATTCGAATCACGGCCGCGACTGACCCAAGTTGATAAAAAAAAAAACAGGTAGCAAGTAGCAACTGTTCCTTCGCCAAGCGCTCGGCACTTTGAAGTGAAAGTTGCAGGTCCTTCGGTAGAGACCTTGAAAACCGAGGTCCCATGTCGCAGTAGGCGTTGGCACGATAAAGAACCGTTACTGCTCGATAGCCCTGAGTGCCGAGCAAAGGTCAAAATTTGAAGCCCTTCACCGGTATATGGTTAACTCTCTATATGAGTGAAAAATTCTTAAACGGGGCCTAAAACAAAATACAAATCAATCAATAAATCATTACTTATTGAACGACCCTCGTATAGAGCAAATATGAGTTCTTAAGTTTCAGTGTTTAGCATAGACATATGGTTTCTAAAAAAAAAAAAAAAAATAAAGAATATAGGTAAACAGTTGAAAACTTAAGGCTTTATTGTTGACTTGCTAAAATATATACTTCCTTAAAGCCATCAATATCTATATTGAAATTTAATGCAAAAACATGGGAAAAATTGTGAAATCCAGTGTATTCACAGAAAAAGCCCAATTTTATCTAATTCCTCGAGTAATCTTAAACATAGAAGTTATGTTTGTTTGTTTTAGCAACGAAAAAGCTTTTTAAAACTATTTTACAAAATCTAAAACATTTTCCTCTCAGTATCATATGTCCTTAACACTGCATGACGTTTTGCGTTCTCTTTTGTCTTTGTAAAACATAATATAGTAACATAAAGAGCTCATGAATCTCTTCGCCCACTTCTAAAGATTAATATTTAATGAAAGGATTTGTAATTTCCTGGTCGTGTAATGATTGTTCGTTATTTGGCCTTACGTCTTTATTAAAAATGTATGTGAAACATCCAAAATACTGATGCTGTTGTAGAACTCCATGGTTTCTTTTGTTTTTCTCTACAGAAAAAAAAACAAAAGGAACATGGACCATCTGTACTTTAAAAGAGACACCGTGTTTTCTCATGTATCGAATTTCTTAATTAAAGTTTTTGTTAACCATCATGTCTGGCTGTTGACAATGAATCTTCTCATTCTCTTTGTTATCATGCATACGTTTATTATTCCTTTTTTAATTTTAATTATTTTATAACTTAAAAAAACTATTCATGCTATTCATACAAGGTCCATGTAAATTAATGCATGCATGGAAATATAATGGACACGCGCTTCATACGTCTACATTTTTTATCCCTCATATAGGCGTCGGAACCGGGGAGGGGGGCTAGGGAGGAGGCTTAGCCCCCCCAACTTTTTTGCAAAAATAGACATAATATAATTTAAATTGGGGCTTACCTTTTTTACTGGTTTAGCCCCCCCCCCCCCACTTGCAATTACCCCCCCCCCCGCCACTTTCATTCAGTTTGCTTCCAAGGCCTATCCCTCAAACAATCGTTGGACTTTTCTCAGTATGTCAAGCTCCGAATTCCCGCAATGGTTCTGAAGATTTATATATCTAATAAGACAGAAAAAATACAATACATTTATCGAAAGTTGACAAAGCTAGCAGGTAGTAAGGAACGGCCATCACCACGACTGCTTTGTTATCTTTCTCATTAGAAGATGAACTTTTAGCTGTTTCTCTTAAATCCATTAATGAGGGCAATTTATCAGTATGTCTGAGCTAGCAGTTTCGGAAGTTACCCCAAATACAGTTCAAAAAATACTACATTAAAACAGTAAATGTCAATGCGTGGATTGGTCCAAGTTACCACAGAATAAGCCCACGATTCTTCCTGTTTCAGTTTTGAGCTTCAATGAAGAAGATACAGGGATATGCATTTTAATCAAGACATTTTTTTATGTATCTCAATATCCTCCCTAAATTTCAAGAGTTTAACCTTAGTTTTGTACTATAATTGATAGATATTTCATAAGAGTCAAGTTCCGAGATTTACGTTTCTCTTTTAACGTAAAAATTCCTTCTCTATTATCACTTCATTATGATACACGACTAAAGCACAGGAAATATATCAATTACCTCTCATCATTAGCAGGCGATAGATATTGTAAACATCGGTCTTATACAAACAATATGGAATCGTCACAAATTACTGACCAGTCTGCTTCTTGTGCCGTTGGAATGTTTTTCATGATACTCGACGGAAATCCATGTTTTCTCAAACAGTTTGGTACGTTTCTTTTTGTTTTTGTTTATTCTGGAAATTGAAAGAAATATGTTGGTCGTGTAAACAGTTGTTTTTGTCAGATGAGCGAGCGAATCTTTAATTATGATAGAGTCAGTAGCAGATATTGGAAAATTTTTCAGTAAAATGTGATTCAATACTTTTTATTTATATATTTACGCGTCACATCCACAGGTGGAAATTTGATATACAACAGCTATACTATACCTCCAGTAAAAAAATTTTAATTTTTTTTTCCTGAATGTCAGTCGCATCAAACAAGGAAAAGGATACAACACAATGACAATGCGTGATCTAAAAAATCGGGAAAGAGTAAAACCTTCAAGTATCTAATCCCGTAAATAAGATCCAGCCTTAAATTGGTAGCTTGGATCTCTAAGGAAATCGAGCCGTGTCCAAAAGGGTATTATTGCCCTGCTTTTCCAATAAGTTACGTGCTGTTTGAGTGTATACTTTTGTTTCATCAATAGAGTCCTGGTGGTAGTTTCTTATAGAACCCCGTCCATAATTGCTCGCATGGGTGTTCATGGACAACATAAAAACCTATTGATTTGCTTTATATTTATTAGCACGCGCAGGTGATAATATTTTTAACTCGCCATCTGCTTAAAAATCTCAATCAATTTGCAGTCTTGTCATAATGCTTACTTTTCTATTAATTAAAACCTGCGTGGATTTTTAAAATATCTCGATAAACGTTAAGCTATATTTTATATGCACACTGAGTGTGTCGTTTAAAACGCTGATTGTAGGACATTTTAAATGGAGAAAACGATCAAAGTTCAAAATGTGTACATTTTCTGAGTTGCTCGCTGACGTAACAGGTGAGGAAAGACTACACTTAGATTAGTACATGTATATACAGCAGGATTCTGCTTTACACCGAACTCGGGGTAAGCATTGATTATTTAAGAAAGATGTAAGGAGACTAATCGGTCTTTTGCATTTTCAGGAACTGGGCACGTAAGGTCACCAATGTCTATACACGTGATTCCATCTTGAGGAATTAATGTCAACTCTTTTTGTAGAGTAAGTTAAACATATTTCCTTTCTATAAACATGTAATAATATAAGCAATCCTTTAAAAAAGGATAATTCTTTTTTTAAAGACAATATTTGTGAGCATCTCGTTAATTATTTAATACATGAAAGTAAAGCTAATTTGTTTAAATAATTTTAATTTTAAAATCCTCCTCATTTGATCATGTTGATCTGGACAGTTCATTAGAGATTTTGCATGACTTTGAAAAATAATCCCTAAATGAAACTTATTTGTAGAACTTGTGATGCCATGCAGATTCTACATGTCATTTTCCAAATAATATATAGCTTTTTGTTATTTTATTTATCAAACAAAGTGAACTTTTATTAGAACATTTCGTAGCATCGATGCAACATTTTTCCATGGGTATGGTTTTAAATATATTTTAATGGCAGCTAAAAATTAACAACATTTTTTTTATTTTTAAATGAACATTTTAAATGTCAAACGCATTTTCATGTTACATATATCTGGCATTGATAGGGTTGTCATAGCAGCGCTATTTCTATGTTACTTGTATTTCAAATGTTGGTATTTTGATAAACAAGTCAGTATCATATTCTTATAATAGATCACAGCAAGACAGAGCCAATACTACATCGGCGACCAGTCATTCCACGCTCTGTGATCTCTGATGTTACGTATTAGGTCTATCGGGTTAGAGTAATCAGTCCCGTTAACTCGACATCCGTTTTGTAATTAGTCTCGAGATTTAGCCTGAAAAGGAGATAACAATTTTGCAATAATCCTGAATAATTCCACTTTTGCCGTCCATATACAATCACTGCGCTTAACATCATGATTTACCAAATATAGGCCTTAAGTATATGTATTAATTGCAAAGTAAATACAAAGGAAGGCACACTCTATGTAATAACTGCAATCATATAAGCCGAAAGGTAAGTTTCTAAAAATTATTTTTTTTTTTATAATCACAATTCTCTTCGATTTGTTAAATGACATGGACATAATGTGAGTAATGTTTCGTGTTTTTACAAAAATCGGATGTGAAACGTAAAATTTCGCAAAGATCATGTACGTTATATATATATTTTTCTTTTTTGGTAAATAGTTTACATTTTGATCAAATTTCCATATTAACGCTTGTCCATATATATATATATATATATATATATATATATATATATATATATATATATATATATATATATATATATATATATATATATATATATATATATAATACAAATATTGCATGTAGTTGAGTGTAACATTAAATAATTTTCACCCCAAGAAAACCATTGTCAAACGTGGCGCAGCCGAGGTTGACAATGGTTTTCGATGGGGGAAATTTTTCAATGTTACACTCAACTACATGCAATATTTATTATATTATACTGAATGTTTTATACGAAAACATATAACAGTGAACCTTGTGCGCATTAATTCTACGCTGTCACTATTTTTCGGAATATCACCCGTCGTCAAGCAATGTTGACTGTTGCTATGCTGGAGGGCGTGGCTTCATTATTCAGCGTGTAATAGTGTTTTTTAACAAATGTTTCTCAACGAATCAGATTCAACTAATTTACATGAAAGTAAAATATATATATATATATATATATATATATATATATATATATATATATATATATATATATATATATATATATATATATATATATATATATATTTGAGCATTTTTAATGCCTCATGGGAACGGTTTCTATTGGCTAAAGTAAAATTTTCATCGCCCAAAATTCTCATTGTTGTCGATTTACCAGAAGTTTGTAAATATAGTTTACAGCCAATAATGTCAATCATAGTGTCCTCTTCTGTAGATGAAGGTTTTGTTTTTCAGGGGAAAAATATCAGAGAGGAAGTTTGACCAAAACGTCTCACTCTCCTACTCAATTGAAATAGCTTTCCATGAGAATGAAAATTTAGTTCTTTTTACTCGAGAATTATTTTACGAACAAATGCTTCATTTTTCTATCGACCTTGATACCGGTATTTAAACCAGACTCAATTTTTTTAAAGAATGAAATTCCTTAAAAGGCCAGGTCGGTATGTAGATATAACTTTAGTCACTAAAAAGCAGCGGTATAAGTAAATGAGCTAATGGTACATTATTCCTGTATTAATTATAGAGATTATACATAGAATAAGACCAGCGTATTGATTTAACACAACCCCATAGCAAAAGGTTAGCATTTATTTTAGTTCCTAAACTCTTCGCTTTACAACTTCAGTATCACAATAAGGTCTAACAATGAGGGCAATGAAAAAAAGAGAGTTTTGGTCGATATTATCAGAACACAAGTTGACAAAAGCATGAAACACATGGGGTAGATGGTTCATTCATCGGAGCAAAAACTAGTTAAATGCAGACTTCATTCATTGAAAATCCATGATAATTACACCATTTAAAAGATTGTGACAAGAAATATGAGGAATAACTTAATCCAAACCCGTTTGTCAAGTGCAAAGTGTCGTCAGGCGAACAGAGTCAAATAAGATTTCATTGTCCGACTATCTGACGCGCCACGCAGTTGTACAGAATTCTGATTAGCCTATCTAATGCAGACGAATATTCCGAGTACCTTCAATCCAATGTCTTAATTGCGCCAAAAAGCATAGCCATGGGTTTTGGTTTTTGTATCCATGGTTTTAGCGATTGTATTGACGTGTTACTTATTTTTTACCTTCGGGCTTGACTGGGACGCGACACGTTTATCAAATGAAGGCAATATTCATTTCGAGGATTAATTAGAGGTTGTATGATGAGTTGTTAGATAAGTATTTATTGACTTGAAGCGTAATTAAAGAGAAAATACAACATGCAATCGCATCCACAAAAAGAAGAAAGAAAACATGATTAAAATGAAGGTGAAGGATGCAATATCACTATATAACATTGAATATGTTTATAACATTCGTGGTTTGAAACAGAACAAAATGAATACTTTTTACCGAAACTCTATTACGTACCTTGACAATTTTTTTTTGACAAAAATTGAAGTGAAAGCCAAGATTTTATTAATTAACTTGAAGTTTGCTTGGGATTTTTTTAAAAAATATTTTCCTTGGACCTTCACATACTATATTGACAGTTAAAGAACAGAAAGTAGCTTTATTTTTGAAAACCAATACAATTTCTTTTGAGATTTCTAATAAATATATATCTGTTTTATTAGATATACAAATCAATGACAGTTTCCTAGCATGTATTTCTGATTTGAGTGAGATAAAAGCACTGCCTCAAAGCAATGCAGAATATAAAAACGAATGTGATAAAGAACATTAACGATGTTTAGGTTATTACAGAAATAAATCCAAAACATAATTAAGATATTGACATCAATACAATGTTTTATTATGAACATAATTTCTTGGTTAGTGAATCTTAAGATGTGAGTACGATAGAAATATTCATCACGTAATCATTCAATTTAATTCCGTGTAGAATTTTGTTTCAGAGTGATATGATGCTGCTTGTTTGGGGCATCGTATGGATGACATTCAAGTCTGTTGTTGTTGCGGGGACTTGCTTCTTTCCGGACCACCTTAAAAACAGCGACTGGCACTACCAAATATCATCTGGAAATGGTGAAAAGCAAACTCTGCAGTTTAGTGGTGAAGTTTTATCAGTGAAAGATGTGCTCGTACCTAGTGATTCCTACCAGCTCTACTGTGTTGAAAGGCGTGGGGAGCATGCTTTCTTGTTTGAGTCCCCTTCTGCACAGTCGAAAAAGTACAAATGTATTGAATTTTTAGAAAGAGGCCGGTCCATTTTGCAGATGAGAACGTCTTCCTTTTCAGAGAGTCCTAATGTATGTAATGATGGTAACTTAGTATTGGATGAATGGTTATTGGTCTCGAATGAAGAGATGGCCAAAGAGATTGGAAGATGCCCATTCAGTGGTGGCTTCAATTTAAAGGTGAGGGATTCAAATGGAAATGCCCATGGTTGTAATCATATGGAACTTCCAATGAGACTGGAAAGCGAATGTATTGCAGGAGAAGGGATGACATTTGACTTCAGAAGAAGCGAATGCACGTATTTTGTTCCCATGAATATCTATCAGAAAACGTATTGTGTAACAAATTGGAACACGAGAAATTTCATATTCGTGATCCTCAAGGCGGTCAATGGAGACGGAATATGGGTTATGAGGGTACCAAAACGTGATTTAGGTTATTATAATAGTCGGATTGTTGTGGAATTATTTACAGATTTGATTGTAAGTGAATCAAATACAAACAGTGTCATAGAAAAATCTTATTCTCTTACATTAGAGAAGGAAGTGCAACGAAGTTTTTGTGCGGATGAGTACGAGTCCTGTTCGAAAAGACTATGTTCCCCCGTAGATATTCGCCAGTGTCCCAAATCATGTGGAACTTGTGACCCTAACACTGTTCTTCCGATATGCTCGTTTCCTCGCAGATTTTTGGGAGAATGGTATTCACAAGACATTGTTGGCACAAGGAGAATCAACATCAGCGATTCCACTCTTTCAATAGGCAATGTTGGACAGTTTTCATGCGTACAATTCGACGACTCTCCGTCTCGCTCTACCCGAATGTTTACAACGGAATCTGTATACTACAATGGTTGCAGACCTCGATATACCTGTGTAGCATTTAAGCGACTGGGTAAGTCTGTTCTGGGGTACAGTATAAGTCAGAGTTTTGTATGGCCAATCACTTTAGATAGTCCTGGAAGGACTATTTGTGATGAATCTCGTTTTCGGCCTGACGAGGAGCCAGTAAGTGATCTGTACCACTCATACGATAATTCATACAAACCAATATTGCCAATTTCAAGAACATTCATACCAACATCGTGCGATTTGCCTTCCTTATTTTCACTTACTGCCCATTTTGATAGAAATAGAAGTTGTGTAGGTGAATTTTATGAAGATTGTGCGAACCCTAGGGTATTCCGACTGGATTATCACAACTGCAGATATACATCAGTGACGTCATATACGTATTATTGCGCAGCAACATTTAGAGAGAATTACTGGGAGAAACTTGTGATTTTACAAAGTGCTACTGTAGCTAAAGAGTCCAAGTGCTTATCTTTTTCTACAGTTTACCCAGATCGTGCTTTTCTTCTTCCCACTAGTCATTGTGACGTGTACGCATGGCAATACGTTGATGCCAATATTCGCCAGTCACTTGTTGAGTTCACGATACGTTCTACCGGTGAAAAATGTAAGTTTATACCCACAACAACGACGGTCACTGTGCCGACAACAACGTCCACTAGTCAGGGACTTTCGACTTCCAGACTTCCGGATAGCCCTCGAACAGGAAAACGGAAACTAGACGTCGCTGTGAATTCAGCTATTCAGAGTGATTCTTATGAAGCAAAAGACAAATATCAAGAAATGATAAAAACGACATTGTCAGCAATTCAGACTGAAAAATCCGAAGATAATAATCATCGCCTCAAAACTGTGGATGAGAGAATGCGTGAAACAAGTCATTCTGAAATATGTCGATCCTCTTTTATGAATATCATTTTTATTGGAGTAGTATTCTTTAAAGGTGTGTTAGAGCTTTTATAATTATCGGATTGCATTGTCAAATAACAAATCTGTTATTTTCCGGTTCGTGAATCTGATTTTGTTTTTTTTAAAAAGGAAATTTGTCAGATATATGTGCCAAGGATTATGTTTATAGATAATGTATTTTAGTTTCGAAAGTTTATGAAGGTATGACCAAACTGATTCTTTTCACCCTGGCATCAATTTGTATCTTCTTATAAAGCACGTGAACGCTTTATGAAAAGTATACCCATGTGAAAGGTATCAGGTCATATCCTCAGTGAACTTTTAAAACTGAAATAAATTTCTTGTATTTACATTCCAATTACAAGCTAAGTATTCATTGATGTTATTCAGACACACAGAAATTGACGAACTGTCTTGTTTACTATTTTCTTATTTTAGCTGTGAACTTTTTTTCAAAGAAATCTTGTGACATCTTATGACATTGTAAATATATAACAGTTAAATTTAAATAACACTGTATAACAATGTTCCATTAATCACTTGCAGGAAGAGGGAAGGTTTTATTTTCTTTTTAAGTTATATCATCATTTTGAATATCACTATTGTCGACAATCTGGAATTTTTTTTTTAATTCTCATATATTTTCGTTACATTCTCCAGAAGGTTAAATTTCTAATTTACGCCAACTGTAGAAAAACAAAACTTTCACTTTTTGTATAAAGTTTTTTAAAAAAAAAATGATACTGATAGTAAAATTTCTCTACCACAAACTAAATGTCAGAGAAAAAGCAATTTATACGTATTATTAATGAGCATTGATTTTTTTTGTCTCGATGGCTGTGGAAATTAAATTTTTCAAAGTCCTGTGCTGGTAATTAGCTAGATCATGTTTCATGTCGTAATATCAATCAGGCCTACACAAAAAGGATACTCAGAAAGTGAGATAAATTCAACTTGGTACACATCTGCAGTAACTTGTTCATAATCTTTACTAATCATTCTACAAACTAAATTAAATCAACGTATAAAGCATAATATGGTTTTACAAAGAAAGTACAATTTGTCTCACTGAGTGTTGTTTTATGTGATAATACCCAAAGAACGAAATTATTATAGCTCCAACGTCAAAGTTACTGCCGCTTATCATACAAAAGACAGACGAGTTGGACAACGACATATACATAGACTCGTAAATTACGTATAAAGCATAATGGTTTTACAAAGAAAGTACAATTTGTCTCATTGAGTGTTGTTTTATATGTGAAAATACGTAAAGAACGAAATTATTATAATAGCTCCAACGTTATAGATACATCTGCTTGTCATACAAAAGACAGACGAGTTGGACAACAACATATGCACAGACTCATAAATTATTTATCAGGATTTTGTTCCTCTTTGTGCTTCAAAATAAAAACGACAGGAAAAGTGCAATTATTTTAAATTCTGCTAAATCAGTCCGTGAATATTTAAAGAATAGGAAGAGCATAATTATGATGCGTCTCTCTCTTTCTCTCTGTGAGGGTGTGTGAGTGTGTGATGTTCCATGTTGTGCAAATAAATAAACTAAAAAAAAAATAAGGACCAACCAGAGAAATTCCTTTTTCCCAATAAATTTTCTAAATACTTAGAAATATCCTTTTATATATAACTTTGACAAGTGTAAAAAGCAACGAGTCAGTTAAATTTTCTAATAGTAAAAAAATGAACAATATTCAGTTGGAAAAAACAATGAGGAAATCAATCAGCACTGGATTTGAAAGGGAAAAACAACGAGGATTTGGAAGGTTTTAATGAACATGAACAGTCCAAAACCCTTTATTTTTGTCATGATCAGTATCTGGTATCATTTCTATCCCTTTTCACTTCCCTGCATCAATTAGGGAAACCGTTAATTCCGGAAGTTATCCTCGGGAATCCTGAACCATCTCTCAACAAGAGTAATTTAAGGTTCAAGGAGTGTGTTGGGTTGGTTTTACCTTTGTGAAATTTGTTTCTGAAGCATGTCCCATGAATGTTATATTGGATTGAGGTCAGGTGAGTTTGCTGACCAATCCACTCTGACGATTGTTTCCTCTTCGAAATACCGATTGACCACTCTCGCACGGTGTGGCCTGGCATTAGCATCCATCAAATTGAAATTGCCACCAATGGCGCCAGCATAAGGCCTAACAATAGCTAGATGTAAGGATTCATCACTGTATCAAACACCGGTAAGAGATGCGTTCCTTATGATGAAGAGGTTTGTGGAACCGTCGTAACTGATGCTTGCCCAACCATGACTGCCCCACTACCGAACCAGTGATGTTTAGCAACGCAATAGTCCTTGAATCGCTTGTTTTTCTTCCTCCATACACACCTACGATGGTCATTGAAATCCAGACAAAATCTGGATATATCAGTTCACAACACTCCCTGGATATGATGTTCATCCCAGTTGATATGCATAGTCTTGAGCAAACTGGAAGCGACGGTTGCAATACATGTTAAACGATCAAAGGTGGGCGCACTGCATGTCGTCTTGCATGAAGTCCCGCATCATATAAAGTCTGCTTCACAAGATCTGCATGGAGATCCGTATGTCTGCTGCTACTATTAGTTCTCTGCTGAAGGCAACTGTTGGTGACATTCGATGTTTCTTGAAAAGCAGTGTCATTTGTCAACGGTTGTCCAACAGTTGTGCTTTTCGACGGACCACTTTCAGGTTTCTGTTTGACGCTTTTAATCTGTTCAAATTGTCCAAACAAACGTCCGATAACAATGGCTGACGCCAAATTTTGCACCAATTTGAACATCCAGACTCAAGCATTCCAATGGCCTTTGCGGCTTCTTCTACTGTCAGATGTCTTCTGCGAGACATATTAACTTGTTAAAAGGCAAAAAGCGACTAATTTTACACAAATTATCGAGTTTTGTTCTTTTTTAAGCTTGTCAGAGGGTAGGAGTATTCAAGATAACCAATACCAATTTAATACAGATAATTCAAAACTTTCAATAATCAATACTTAGAGGAAATGAGCATGAATGGAAACCGTGAAATGGAAATTAAAAAAATAAAATATACATGTAGTTATATTCAAGTTTGAAAAAAAATGAAGTGGCCCTTAACTTTTTTTATTGGTTGAGTATATATATTATATATAATATATATATATATATATATATATATATATATATATATATATATATATATATATATTTATATACCAGTTATTTCACTAGGTTAGACAGATTAATTGATTGAATGTTGTTTTACGTCCCGTTGGAGAATTTTTACTCATATAGAGACGTCATCATTTACCGGTGAAGGGCCTTTACTCGGCACTCAGGGCCCTTGAGCAGGAAGGGTTCTTTATCCTGCCAACGCCTACCGTGACACGGGACCTCGGTTTTTAAGGTCTCATCCGAAGGACCTGCAACTTTCATTTCAAAGTGCCGAGAGCTTGGCGAAGGAACAGTTGCTACCTATTTTTTATCGGCTTAGGTCAGTCGCGGTCGTGATTTGAACACAAGACCTTCCGATTACGAAGCGAGCGCTTTACCGACTGAGCTACCGTCACGGTAGGTTAGAGAGATGTCTCTGAAGCATATAAGAGGGTTTTTTTATGAATGAATTGTAAAACGGCTTGCCATATAATTACAACCACAGCCTCCTGGAAATTGAGTACATACATACAATGTAATTTATTTCTAAGCATGTACTATCAGTATTTATATTTCGAGCATATTTTATACAGTTTGTCAAAGATGAAAAGAAGCATGTGTTTGTCACAAAAATTTGATCATAATTGGCTGTCAGAATTTTCTTTTCACCTTTGATATGAATTTAACAAAAATCGATTCGAATACTCTTTTTAATATAAGCTTCAACGTTTTGTAAAAGAGGAGGGGGGGGGGGGCTTGCATCGGTCTCATTAATAAGTAATAAACGATTCTCTCTGTAGATTTTTGTTCTAGAAAAGTGTGAACACAGACTAAATATCAGATCCGTTTACAAATGAACCAAAATCTTCGACTGTAGGAATACATTGCGTCGCAAGTACAATGAGAAAGATGATTATTTGATTAGACACAAATGATTGGGAAATCTTTTCTCTGACATCTCTTATTTGATAATGTCACTGTTAAACAGGAAATTTATTTCGGAAGTTATCAATCTTTTAGTGCCATTGTCGGGTGATGCAGAATTTTTATGATTATGCACATTAAATTAAAGTCATTAGGAGAGTAAATAAAAGTGTTAATTGCTCTCCAGATGTGACAAATGATGACATTTTTTTTTCAATCAATTTAGATACAGTGTATTAGTCAATTTAGATATTCGGCTTGTATATCAGAAACATACACTGTCATTGCATGTATTTTCTTCCTTGATCAGTCTCCAAAAATTCTAATTTTGCAAATATAAATGGTACACTTGGGTCAGTTCCTTCCTGTTCAATAATTTATTCATCATCTTCAGTGCATAAAAAATGTACATCTGGAATAATATTCAGTCTAATGTACATGGATATATTTCAAAAATGAACACTATCATATTCTGCTTATTTGCTTTAACTGGTAAGTTTATGAGTACATACAAAAATTGAAATAATAATAATACTCTATTGTAAATGATTGGATTTTTTTTCCCTACAACCTATCAATAACCATTCTTATATTAGATATTTTATAACGATATTTTAACGATATCTAAAAAATTACATCATAGACCCCACTTTTGATTTTCTTTAAAAAAAACTTTTATATTAGAAAACTTTTACCATTCTGCTTAAATTCAGTAAAAGCTTAAAACCTTAACACAACTGGTAAAATGAATTTTTAATTAGAGAAAAATGACATTTTGTGAGTGCATAAAGGTCAAATAAATGATAATGTGAAGTAATTTGAAACTTTTTCTTTTTTACAATTTTTGATGTGTCTATTCAAGAAAGAATAAGACCCTGTTTGGTCCGAAAATATTTATTTGGATGAAAGATATTGGAGGAAAAAACTTCTAGATCTAAAAAGTGATGTATGTGCAAATCGCAATTACAGTACAAAAAGGTCATAGTAAATGCACCATAACGCAAAAAGATGCGTATCCACCCCCCTTTTTTTTGTTTTGATTTTTAATTAAGCTATGTGTATAGATACTAAAAATATACTTGACATATAATTCTAAAGACTTTTCATAGCAAGATCCAAACTCTTTTTATAAAATCATTCAGATATCATCTTACGTATAAATATTTGGAAAGTTACTTTGAAAAAAAGTCTTATTTTATATCAGTTGTTTCTAATTCCTTATATGACAATATTCTACACTCTACACTAATAATGAGGTTGTATCAAAATAAAATATGGTTTATGCTAACGTTAAATCGGTTAGGGTGTTCCAAAAACAAAAACTACAAATTTAAAACGGGGATATCTTTTTCATGAGAAAAAAATTTTGCATTAAGAAAAAAAATCATTGCAAATAGCAAGTCTTCTTTTAACGAGTAATATTTTATAGTGTTTAAAATTTTGTAGTGTTTTAGTATTATTAGTGGAAAGTTTATAAATCAAATGACCAGCATTTCTGTCAAAATATATTTAGCTATAATAATATCTTTATATGCATGAGCGGAAACTTGTACTTAATATGTGTGACAATAGACCTATGTGAAAGTACATACATGTAGTGGGAATTTTGTACTTAAACTTGGCTCGGATGTGTATACTTTGGAGTTCATCCAGAATTGCGATATGTATCTACTAAAGTCAGGATCTGAATGCATCCATTGGTGCTTGGGAAAAATCACCCCTATACAAGTTTAATCATAATCATTTTCTTTCATAGTAAAACTTTTTTGCAGATTTAAGTTATACCCCGGTATTATCATACTAAAATATAAATCTTTTTATCTGAGATTTTTGTACATCAAGTATAATTGCAAGCAGTGTAATTAAACTACATTAAACTAGTAGATGTGTATCAAAACTGTTACCCTCTGTGGGGAAAAAACCTAAGTAAGAAAAAGAAATCGTCTTTGAAAATTAAATCATTATATTTCATAATTAAAAGAAGTTTCAAATTGAATTATTCACAAATACATGCATTTGCGAAAACAAACGATTAAACAAAAACAAAAATATTAAATAAAAATCCAAGTTTTAATTAAATAATTCAAAGCCTACTTGTTTGCTATTATAAGTACGATATATATATATGCCCGGTATAATATCTCAAATAATTTACAAAATACAACGGTATACTTTTCTTTGAATTAGGATTTCAGAATAACGGCATCCTCTCATACACTCAGCATTTCATCTCAGATAATATAATGTCATGGTATGCTGCAGACAAGGCCTGTCCTAGTTTGTTTAATCCTGGTAACGGCACCATTCACATGGCGGTGAATTTATCGGCAAATCCTCAACAAATACAGGTGTTGAGAACCCTCAACAATCACGAAAGTGTCTGGTTGGACGGGTTCCGATTTCATCTTGGTTGCAATGGTATAATTTTGTATTTCTAAAGAAGGCAACAAGTTATAATCTTATAATTTAATTCTGATTGTAACGCTGTATTTGATTGGATAAAAAATTTACTTTATATTGTATAAAATACGTTGCCTACGTCACAATGACTTGCGTCAAAAACGTATCGATCTGCCTGACGTTACATTCAAATTTTGTACAAATTGAAGTCATCTTTTAAGGACAATCATTTTTTTCTTACACCAAATGAATGAAAATTAAATTATAAGGAATGAATTTGACAGCTACCCATTTTATACGGTATAAACTGGGTTGGGGCAGTTTACGCTTTATAAACCGCGTAACTGTATACGAATTCTTTTGAAATCCAACGATGGTGTAAATACAATTTTAGATGCATATAGTACCTATTAGTCATAGGATGACAAATCCACATCGAGTATAAGCTAGCACTATATTAAACAGGTCCGGACGGAAAATTGGTTTGTTTTATTTGAAGATTCTTACAACAATACCTGTAAGTAACGTGATCAAATTAAAGGATGTGACGCTGAACACCTGTCTACATAAAATTAAATTCTTCTTAACTTAAATATGGCATCTTGTATTTTTAGAATGTTTTTAGCACTTAATATATATATACGTTTCCTCCTTTAACATAAAAGAGTTCTTTAAAGGACGTTTCCATGCATATGACTATAATAGCGAGCGCAGCGAGCGGCGCGAAGCGCCGCTCGTCACTGCGAGCTCTAACGACAACGCCTGGGCGAAGAGAAAATTCGGACTACTGCACATTCATTCAATAGATTTTTTTTCCGCAGTAATTCTGACCCACAATGCATCGCTTCTTGTTCTCGCTGCTAACTTCGTTCACGCGGTGACAACAACTAAAAATTCACACAAAATAAACTCACCTTAATTTAATGGATATTGCATGCAGATAGTAGATTAAACGTTCTTTGTTAAAATATTTGCACTTTTTAAACTTTGTTTATGGAAATGAAAGCAGCTAACATACGTCATGTGACGTCACAGTCTAGACGTTCCAAATGTCTCGTGCGGTTTGAAGAGGCGGATCATAATAATGAAGTGAACACTGCGCTCGCCCCAACGGTCGCACCGTCAACATATTATGAGCATAAGTAAATAAATGTCAGCGAAGTGATATTCTTATATGATCGTGCCAAATTTATAGCAAAGTTAGTGGTTTCGGAAAGGTCGTACTTTCTCGTCTATCATTTGTCGAAGGGGCAAACATTTAAAGAGCTTAAGCGTTATGAACTCATAATTGTTCAAATATCCCGAGTATTAAGGTCAAGATCTATTAAATGAAAGGTGCCTTCAGATTTCTGAAATCTGAGAAACAAGTTCTTTCAATGATCCTTTACAAATATAGCTTGGCGAAAGTAGGTGTATCGGGGCATAATTTTTAGGTAAACTCAACGAAAAATGATACTTTAAACTGTTATTTTCAATGAAAAATGAAGGAAATCAGGTATAAATATGGGAGTTTTTTCCTCCTCAGAAAAAGAAAATGTATCAATATTGCCTAGAGTCTCTCAGAAAACAGTTTTTCATATCTTCTTGACCTCTTCTTTAAAATATTAATTTGAATATAGGTATCGGGGTTAATTTTGACATGATTTCAAACTGAATTCCATGAAAATGTTTTATTTTCTACGTAATACTATAATAGCCGTAAAGTACGGGAAAAATTAAGTTTAAATCAATTATGACGTCATAATGGATCTAGCACCAAAAAGACAGTCTAAACTCATTTACTAGATCTTGACCTTAAGGTCAAGATCTAGTAAATGACTTTAGACTAACTTTTTGGTGCTAGATCCATTATGACGTCATAATCAATTACAACTTTCTTTCTCCCGTAGTTTACAGCTGTAGTAGAATTTTGTAGAAAATAAAGTACTTTCACGGAACTCAATTTGAAATCATGTAAAAAGTAATCCCGATACCTATATTCAATTTGATATTATTTTAAAGAAGAGGCCAAGAACATACAAATTATCGTTTTCTGAGAGACTGTAGGCAATCTGGATGCATTTCTTTGTCTGATATGGAAAAAAAACTCCCATATTCATGACTGATTTTCTTAATTTTTCACTGAAAATGACAATTTGAAATATGATTTTTCGTCTTGTTCATCTACAAATTATGCCCCGAAACACCTTATTTGACCAAGCTAAAGTTATAAAGCACCATTAGAGGAATTTATTTCTCAAATTTGAGAAATCTGTAGGCACCTTTCGTTTACTAGATCTTGACCTTAAAGCCATTTTTTTAAAATTTCAAATGCGTAAATTAAGCGACGGTCCTAAAAAAAGCACTCCGCAATTAAGTCTATATTTGCAGTAAAATACGATACCCTCTCCCCTTTCCTCTCGAATAAACAAAGTGATGAAATAAAGCTTTGTTCAGCGTACAGTGTGTTCATTTTATAGAAATAAAGCGATAATATTAATGTGAGTTACTGCAATTTAGTTATAACTTGTAATGTAGGTCAAGTCTACGACTTATTTGCCATTCAGTGACTTTCTTTGAAAGATTTATATGTGAGGGTTTTGATCTATATTTAAGCCAATTCTTGTGAATACTTGACTATACAACATCTCGTCACATCTGAAAAGTTGAAATCTATATGCATCAAAGGTAAGTTGAATAAAATAATTTACTTGCTAATTAATTGTTACTTGACAATGACTACCCCTCTACGGTTCTTTTAAACATTAATTCATAGTAGCTCTAGATAGAATGGGACACGCAGGAAAACGGAGTTAAATAAACTCTGCTACTGTATACAGGGGTATTTTCGCCCCGTGTTATTTTACCCTTTAATACTTACAAACAATTTTGCCCCATTTTAGATTCGCATAAACACAGTTGTGTTAAGAGTTAAAGCTGACTTCCTCGAATTCACCCTGTTTACAATTTGCCCACTTGCAACAAGGGTGAAAGGGGCGAAAATAAAGCGGAGGAGGGGGTCCCTTTATACAGTATTATACGGTTTGTCCTCTTATGCCTCTTGTGAAACCTCGAATGATATGAAAATTTCTGAATTTCATATTCTAGTTTATGCATTTTTTTCAGATGGTAATCGAACAGCACAGTTTGACTGCAGCAAAGGGGATACCTACAATTTTACCAGTGTCCATGACCAATCAATGCTCCACCGTTTAACAGAATATGTCAGCGGCGAACCGCTGAAAATAAATCGGGCAGACATAGATGGTATTAGTTTCTTTGGTCTGTCAATACGTTTTCTTACAGGGGCGTAGATAAGAAATACAAAAAACAAATTTCTATCATTTATCTCGAAATGAAATGAAAGCAGGAGATTTTTTCATGAAATGAAATGAAAACAGGGATTTTAATGTTTCATGCATGTTAACACAGAATTACACATACTACAGTATATTTTATTACTGTTAATTTTAAATTGCTCTTTGTATACCCATTCAAAAACAAATTTAAGAGGGGATAGAGGTTTACAGAAAGAATTATGATAATTTTGTCTGACTTACGGCACATTTGCATATTCAGCTGTGGTGTCGCAACTATATTTTGTCAAGGTAAATGTGTCTGAGATTTTATTCCATAAGATAAACCAAAAGTATACAGTAGATCTCATTCTTTCATTATGATTATGTTTTAGAGAATATACATCAATGAGAATTCACATAATACGCGATTTTCCAAAACACATCTACTATTATATTTTAGTTTGAATCAGTCATTCATACTTGTACATGTTGTAGGCATACTGAAGCAGTGTCGACTGGCCACAAGAACCTCGACTGGATTCATAATAAATTATCAGAATTGCGCTGATAAACACAAAGTTCTGTGTCAGAGACGTAAGTCTACCTCTACGTCAGTATGCTCATACCTAAAATACCAAATTAAGATTATCAAAGTATTTTTGTTGGAAACGCTCCTACGTGTATGTACTATGTTTTTCCTGGACGTTTACATGTTATTATATGCTGTTGTCTGTTGGATTACACTGAGTTGACGGGAAAGAACTTCGATTTTTAATGCATAAACCTCCTTGCTCATAGAGTAGACAAAGGGTATTAAGTGGCTTTTGACTATCTATTTGTGCAAGCTACCTCAAAAGTTGTATTTAAATAATACACAAATTATTAATATTTAACAAAAGATTATCAATAACATATGTTCAAGGAAAAGACTGCATGATTTAAAACCTTATATTTTTATTTTTTTTTTTTTTTGTATTTTAATTTGAGCATTTTGTGTGTGTGTGTGTGCTGTGTGTGTTGAGGGGGGGGGGGGGGAAGGGAAGGAAGGACATGCCACATTACAGAACAAAGGAAGATAATTCAAGTATAATAATTGATTAAGCTTGCCCTTAGATCAAAAATAAAATAAAATAAATTGAAATCTTCAGTTGTATTATAAATTGATTGTACACATTAATTATTTGCATATGTTTCCCCAAAATTACATCATGACAACTTTTGCATTTACTGCCAAATGTAAATTCTCAATTTACAACATGACACTTTGATGATTTTTTTTCTTTTTGTATTTCCAAAGTTTAGCTTGTAAACATGTAGTTTAAATCTATTTTAGATTCCAATTCCACCCCAATTGTTACAACCCTCGTCTACAAGCGGTCTGGTGTGGGCGATGACGCGGAAGCCATCTTCATCTCTCCAAGCAATTCAAAGGAGGCTGGGTTGACAAGTTCCAGTACGTACAACATTCTTCTAAAAGCGGTTTCTTAGGTGAAATTTTCATACACCGTTGTAGGGTGGATTTTAGAGGTATACCGTGTAAGTGGAATTTTTAGCGAGACACATATTTAGGGATTTTGCCTAAAAGGTCTGTGTTTAATTTTAGCAAGAAGTAAATTTAGCGATTTTGTAATGCCTTGGAAGGTTACAGTTACCTAAGATGTGGGAATAAATTGTAAGCGAATTTAATTTTAGCGATCTCAAATGCCAAAATTGAATCCTCGCAAAAATTTCTGCTTTATTCATTATATTTTCGGAATTTTATATAAAATAGTCTTGATATATTTAGTAAAGCGACTATTAGATTTTTGATTTTGGTCAGATCTAGACCACATGATTAATGTTAAATAATGTTAACTCCCTAGTGTAAGACTTTATTTGTCTCTATATTTAATTACTTCATCAAAAATTTAGAAATGTCTATAGAATTCTTGTCCTGGGGATTATGAAACCGAGTTCCAATCCTTGCATAAAAATCTTATTTTTCCCTGTCCTTAGATGTTCCCATTCTGCATACATGTATGTTACTGGGCGTTGATACTTAGATCTATGTTTTTTTATTCTTTGAAAATTAAAATACAAGATGTGTTTGTGAAACACTGATGCCCCCGTATGCAGCTTATCGCCAAGATTAAGTCTTTCAAAAGTAGGTAAAATTCCAAGGCCAAGTCAAGAGGTCAAAAATGTTGGTACACAAAGAAAGGTCTTGTTACAAGGTGTACACAGCATAATATGAAATCCTGAATTTGAAAGCCCTAACATTAACCATTAAAAATTATGCCCAAGGTTAAAGTTTGGTTACAGTTTTTCAAATGTAGGTTAAACTCCAAGGTCATGAGGTTCTTGTTTATCTCGACTTCTAAATATACAGGGGAAGAGAAGAAGATTCTTAAAGAATTTATGCATTTTCACTATATCATCATTAGAGCCCCGCCTTAACACTAGAACCCCTGACCCTTGAGCCACAAATTTCACAATTCTGGAAGGTGCACCCTTGCTCATCATAACCATGCATCTAGTTTAACTGCTTTATATACAGAGGGAGAGAAGATTTTTAAAGAATTTATTCATTTTCACTATATGATCGTTACATGTAGAGGCCCGCCCTTACTCCAGAACCCCTAATCCTAGGGCCATGAATTTCACAAGTTTGGTAGAGGGCTCAGTGCTTATTACAATCATGCCAACAGTTTGACTGCTTGATGTCCAGGAGTAATGTAGAAGATATTTTAAAAAAGTGCTATTTTTAATGGTTTTAGCCCCACCCTTGGGAAGAGGAGGACAGGGACCCTAAAATTCACAATTTTGTACCCCTTTACCAACTGATACTATATGCCTTTTTTTTTTAAATTGGTTCAGCGGTTCAAGACATAAAGCTGAAAATGTTCCAAAGTTTACGACTGACGGACGATGACGGACAAAAACAGATAGCAATAGGTCACCTTAGTGACTCAGGTGACCTAAAAAGCCTTAATTAGCACCAACCGTTCATAGGTTATGGCAAAGGTTAATTTGTTTAAAATTAAACATACGGCCAGACAGAGACGGACAGACCCAAACCAAAAACTTCATGCCCGAAATATCTATTATTCATCAATACAATGCATGTATCAACATTTGTTTAATATTAAAGTTTTCACGACAAATTATAACAGATTTCCTGGACGCTAAATGGCTCATTACCACCGGTCTGTCAGCAATGGCGTGTTTTTTCAGCGTCTTCATCTGTATATACCTGTGTTCCAGGTAAAAATCAATTGCAAAGTCATCTTTATTGGTAATGAATTTACTTTTTTTCAATTAATTTCATTTGAATGAATGATTAATTGATTGTATGTTGTTAAACGTCCCATTCGAGAATTTTTCACTCTTATAGAAACGTCAACGTTTGCCCTTCAATTTTAAACCTATACTCGGCACTCAGGGCATTGAGCAGAGAGGGTTCTTTATCGTGCCACCGCCTACCATGATAGGGACCTCGTTTTTTAAGGTTTCATTCGATAGACCCGTGACTTTCACTTCTTATGCCAGGCTTTTGGCGAAGGAATAGCTACTAGCTATGCTTACGTCCTAGGTTTGACACGGCGCGGCGAACGAGAATCGAGCCCGGGCCTCCCGACTACGAAGCGCTAGGCTATAGTGACAGTGAATAGCTTAAATATGGAACTTAAACAAACTTGGATATTTTGCAAAAAAAAAGGGGGAAGACAAAAAAAGAAAAAAAAAGGACAATTAAAGAAATCAAAGCAAAGCAAAAACTAAGAAAAGATAGCATACAAGCAATATGTCAAGGAAAAAAAACTATTAATTCTGTTCTATTTTAGAATAGAATATCTTCACTCCACAGAAATAACTAGCTTAGATACACACTTCCTGTGTATTCATGGATCTTGCAAATAGGGAATTCTGTTTGACAGAACAACAAACATATCAATCCCGTTAGTTAAGAATTAAAACAAAACACACACAAGAAGAAACAAGGAAGTAGGAAAAAAGAAAAAAAAAGGTGTTATTGTAATCAAAATGGAAAATATAAAACTATGTAGTTTGTCGAGAAAAAACATAAGCTCTTAAATGTGTTCTTACTATTATATTATTCAACAATTTTCAAACATTATGCTTGGTTATTTTATTTCCAAGTGAAAATTTAGTTAATTGTGAGTAGCAATAGCCAGTATTATAATATTGTAACTAAATTCAAACATCTTTACTCCACAGGAAACACCTACCTTTAAATTCCAGCATCAATTCAAGTCGGCGACGGCGTAATTTCCAAGAAAGCTTCATCCTGCCAAATTCTGAAGACTGAAGTCAAGTCAACAGACATATATTGAATGTGTAGAACATAATATATTTTAAAACTAGTATAAGCTTCTATACTTATATAAACATTTGTCAATACTTGGTTTTCTACAATGTATAGCTTATGTTTTTTAAAAAAATAATATGAGTGTTCATATATTTTCAGATGGTTTTGTAATTCTCTTTCGCACCTGTGTGCTAGATTTTTTTTTAAATACATGGAAATGCACTTCTTTTACCAAAAGAGATAATTCCATACCACAGCATCAAAAATGAAGGTTGAAACTTCACTCTAGCAATATTGTATCTGACTTGCAAAGAGTTATGCACTTCCTGGAGGAAATTAACAGATGAAGCCAACATAGTATAAATTAATTACAAAGTCTTTCTTTAACTCCAATGCCGCGTGCTTGTCCGCGGTTTCCCACTAGGCTACGGGGCTCCTCCTAAATTATTTATCCGGTCCATTGGTAATCGATATTGAATTTCTAAATGAACCTAAACAGCCATGATGGAAGGACCTAGGGTCCCGCACTCATTTCTTTTAATCATCCGTGCAAAAAAGAAATTAACTTGAATAACAATTTCCACATGTTCATCTTTGGAAAGACTATGTATGAAAATTAAATGCATGTGCTTTCTCTCCCATCTTAAAAAAAGTTTCCTTCTGTTTTGCATGCCTCCATATATCTTTCGTCGCTTTCATTGATGCCTATTAGATGAATGTGGGAAATATAGGGTTGTCTTGAGTCAGTTAATACTCCAAGAGAGAGAGAGAGAGACGAAACGATGGTTATACATGTACATTTTGGAGTCATCAGTATTAATTATAAAAAAAAAAATAACTTAAGTATGCATGTTCTCCAATTCATTTTATTGGCTACAGTGTCGCGTTTGAAAAAAAAAACTTAGAAAGTTTATCCGTCTTTTCCAACTATGAATCTTTAAACCCTTAATCTTACTACATGTAGTCCTGCGGCAAAGCGTTATGATTTGGATAAGTTGATTCTACATGTACACGACGAAGATAACATACTTAAATTCATCCCTCTGTACACTCGTATATAAAATATTGCTCCAATTATTTTAATTCCTAAAGAAATCTACTTTTTAATCAAAAAGAATATTATAAATATACATTAGCACCGCGGGGCAAAATTTGACAGAAATGAGCTTTAAACATCATAATTTTATAAAATTATCCCAGGGAGAGTTATCTCTCTTGTCAGAGGGTCGATAAACCTTCTCTTTGAGTTAAGAACTCTTCCTTTCAGGATGTTATTTTCTTGATATGCTTAAAATGAAACTTATTCTGTTGAACAACACTTTTAATTTTATAACCATAAAACAATATGATACGTATGTGACTTGTGATATTTTTTCAACTGTTAAAAGCATATTGGTAAATATATGACACAGGCACCTGTTTCTGTAATAAATTTTTGACCCATAGTATAATAATAACTTATTATACTAGGGTCAAAAATTTATTACAGAAACAAGTGCCTGTGATATATGATATTACAACCGTGTAAAAAAAAAATCACGTTTTAAAATAAACCAGATTTTCTTCCAAAGCTTCTTATGGACTGTCACCAGGTTTCTGGAAAGAAAGGTGATGGGAAAGTCTGGAAGGATAGTTCCTCTTGACTTCTAAACGAGTTCTTTGGGGGGGGGGGGGGGGCGAGGGGGTTACTACTTTTGTGCGTTAGGTTCAATAAGTTGTTACGTATACGTAAAAGCTCATCAAATCTTAAAACTGGAACTAATAGCACCAAAAGAGAAATTAAAGTTAAATATTAGGTGGAGTTGCAATGCCATGGCGCTAACACACTCAGATGATGCACCCCTTGAAATCCAAGATGGCAACTGTCGTACCTTCACTCTTTTTATATACAGTAATATACTTTTAAAACGTACTAATTTCAACGATTTTTTTTAAATTTTAATGCGTGTTTTCAGACACACCTAGAAAAACACATAATACCAGTGGCGTATATTCCGATGTGTAGGCTAGTGTGAAGTCACAGATTTAATCTGAGGCGCAGCGTGGGTAGGCAATATCATGATATGAAGACCACTTAACAAAACTGAGAACTTCTAACTATTTTTACTCTGCTTAAAAAATATGGAAACTTCCCTCTGAAAAATCGAAATACGTTCAATACGTTTAACTTCCTACTAACCAAAAAATATTTCCAGTTATCAATTTCACTTCCTGCACTGATCCTGTTGCTGTCAATGGTTTTGAAATTGTCTGATAAGACTTAATATAACACTTGAATTTCGGCTTACAAAAGCAAAACTGAAAACATTTACATGGGATAGGTATAAAAGTGCGGATTGCTAAGAATTTTTTTTAGGGAGGGGGGGGAGGATTTGCAACAAAATAATATTAATAGGCAAGATTTATTATCAACTCCCCTTTCCCATTTCTTCAACTAAATTTTTATCCCTGACAAAATGATGTGTAGGCTACAGCCTTTTTGCCTATATGGAATATACGCCACTGAATACACAGAATACATTTATTATCAACTCCCCTTCCCATTTCTTCAACTAAATTTTTATCCCTGACAAAATGATGTGTAGGCTACAGCCTTTTTGCCTATATGGAATATACGCCACTGAATACACAAAATACATCATCCCAAAACCAAGCACCCATGACTATATCCCCTCCGCTACTACATTGCGAGGGGATAGTAAGTAAACTGTATTTACTGCCACCTAGTCCCAATGACAACACACAACATAAACCAAAAAAAAAAAAACACTTTAATGGCTATCTTCCCAGGAAAATGGTCATTGCAATAGGAAGTTTGAATTTATTCACGTGCATGACCAGAATTTTTCATCTTAAATGTGCATGCACTAAGCAAGCTTAGTCTTGTCTCATGTCATTGTCATATTATAATAATTTAAAGTAAACTTAGTAACGAAATACATGTTCATATACAGTAGACAAATCAACAAAACAGTCATATATTTCCTTTTTATTTCTTTTTTACATTGCTTCCTTTTTCTGAGGTGCTGGCAGTAGATGCAGTAGGTTTGACAAGTTTGAACTGTTTGGGTTCTACAGACTGTGCTTTCATTGCTGCTTCATGTTCTATACTGGTTTTAATAGATCTCTCCAACCCCTGCAATTCAAAGGAATTCACATTCATTTAAAACACCAGAAGCAACATTATTCCATACTTGGTGACAATCCATATTGCATACCACCAACTCATTAAGAGATATTATATCAGAGGACTCTGTACATTTTAAGTACTTAAGAAGTTACATTGATACAATGAATTTTCACCAGTCTGAAGTGATCATTCATAAACTCTAGACAAGATGGGGCCAGTATTACATTTCCACAAATTTTGAGATATAGGATTTCCTTGCTCACTTGATTTTCTATTTTTATCATGAATTTGTATATTCTGCACACACACTATCATGTGGTAGCACATTATCAATGACATAATTACATGCATGTATGTATATTGAATTATTCTGCCAATAACTAACATTTATTCACAGATAATACCTACATTATTTACTTAAGTAATTCACACACTGTTATCCCTGCCAGGTGTAAACAAGAACAAGAGGCCCATGGGCCACATCACTCACCTGAGCTCATTGGCTGGGAAAAAAAGCAAAAATCAATTCAGTATTGAAAAGTTTAGGGGGACTTGAATTTTAAACTACCTGATGATGCTTCCATATCAATATAACAAATGGCTTTGCTGTTCTTGTGTAGAAGATTTTTTTTCTAAATATTTGTTTGTAAAAATTTGATCCTCCATTGTGGCCCCACCCTACCCCTGGGGGTCATCATTTGAACAAACTTGAATCTACATTACTTGAGTATGCTTCCATATCAAAATAACTAATCATGGCTTTGCTGTTCTTGAGAAGAAGATTTTTAAAGTTTTTTCCTATATATTCCTATGAAAAACTTTGATCGCCCATTGTGGCCCCACCCTACCCAAGGGGGGTCATGATTTGAACAAACTTGAATCTACACTACCTCAGAATGTATATAATATACATATGTGTGTTACAAAACAAAATTAAAGCTGGAGACCAACACCTTGAGGTTGAAATTACGGAAGATTCTAATCAAGTAGACTAAACATGGCTTTCCTTTTCTTGAGAGAAAGATTTTTTTCCTATATATTCCTATGTAAAACTTTGATCCTCCATTGTGGTCCTACCCTACCCCTGGGGGTCATGAGTTGAACAAACTTGAATTTACACTACCTGAGGATGCTTCCATTAAAATATGACCAATCATGGCTTTGCTGTTCTTGAAAAGAAGAGTTTTAAAGAATTTTCCTATGTATTCCTATGTTAAACTTTAATCATCCATTGTAGCCCCACCCTACCCACGGGGGGTCATGATTTGAACAAACTTGAATCTACACTACCTTAGAATATATATATACATAGTGTGTTACAAAACAAAATTAAAGCTGGAGACCAACACCTTGAGGTTGAAATTACTGAAGATTCTAACGAGTGGATACCACGCGGTATTCAATAAGGTCTGGATCAAAAGTAGTAAACTTAAGTTTACATATGTGTGTTGATCACTCGTATTTAATTACCTCAACATCAAGAATAAATTTGAATCTGTTGCACTAAATTAAGCTCAAATCTTATGGAGATCTAATCTTGAAATGTTTGCCAAGTTATTTATTCTGCAACAGGGATATTAAATCAGCAGTAAACATGAACAAGAGGTCCATGGGCCACAATGCTCATCTGAGTAACTTTGGCTCTGCTGTTCTGTGTAAAAAAATTTCCCAAGCATACATTTATTCCTCAGGAAGCTTCCATATAAGTTTCAGCTTTACTGGTCCAATGATTCTTGAGAAGAAGATTTTTAAACATTTTTCCTTTATATTCTAATGTAAAACTTTGATTCCCTTTTGTGGCCCCACCCTATCCCCGGGGGCCATGATTTGATTACTTTAATAACTACACTACCTCAGGAAGTTTTCGCATAAGTTTCAGCTTTCCTTGTCTAGTGGTTTTTAAGAAGAAGATTTTAAAACATTTTTCCTATATATTTCAATGTAAAACTTTGATTCTTTATATGGCCCCACCCTACCCCAGGGGCCATGATTTGAACAATATAGAATCTACACTATCTCAGGAAGTTTCCACATAAGTTTCTGCTTTTCTGGCACAGTGGTTTTTGAGAGGATGATTTTTAAAGAATTTTCCTGTATATATATTTCAATGAAAAAGTTTGATTCACTGTTGTGGCTCCATCTAACCTTCGGGGGCCATGATTTGAACAATTTAGAATATACACTACATCAGGAAGTTTCCACATATATTTCAGCTTTTCTGGTCCAGTGGCTCTTGAGAACAAGATTTTTTGAGGACCCCAACCCATTTTTGCCTTTTCTTGATTATCTCCCCTTGGAAGAGGGATTGGCCCTTCATTTTAAAAAATTAGAATTGCCTCCATCCAGGGATGCTTTGTACCAATTCTGGTTAACACTGGCCCATTGGTTCTCAAGAAGAAGTTGAAAATGTGAAGTTTATAGATGGACAGATAGACAGACGGACGGCCACCGGACACCAGGTGATCAGAGAAGCTCAATTAGCTTTCAGCTCAGGTGAGCTAAAAATATGATACATGAATTACTCTAACTCATAACAGACAGCAACTCAAGTAAATTAATAGTTACCTTAATTAACATCCAGAATAAATTTTAATCCCTTGCAGAAAATAAACTTCAAATCTATTGCGCCCCATTTCTGAAGTGTTTGCTTAAGTGAAGCCTATAAAAAATTATTTTTACTTCCTGTAACCCAACCTATCCATTCAAATTATAGTTGGGTGGAATTTTTTTTGTTTTTTGGTTCAAATCTGTTTGATTAACCAGAAAAAGCAATTTTAATAAAAAATGTTTTAAAAAAATAATTGTATAGCTTTACTTGACATATGAAATATGTCAACTAATTCAACATTCACCTTTTATGAAGACTATAAAAATGGACACCAGGTGATCAGAGAAGCTCTGCATTTTTATAATGAGTGATTATTAATAATATAGGGTTTATTCACAGAAGTCGGCAGTTTTATAATTATCCCTAAAACAATGTAAACACTAACCAGTGAGCTTCGCAAGCCCAGTGCTCGCTACTCTCGCGAAGCTCACTGGTTAGTGTTTACATTGTTTTAGGGATAAAACTGCCGACTCCTGTGATTTAATTAACTTATATTTAGTGAACATTGGCACGAGTTCTGTTGGCTGTACAAATGCACAACATACATAGTGATTCCTATGCGTCTGTCATGCTACATGGGTGATAAATACATGTATTGTTATTCTCTTGAAAGAAGTGAACGGGCAAAGTCTTTATCCATATGGATGTAGGCTATGACCAGGTCCAGTACAATCAGTACATTTAGCTACATAGCTAAAATTACCTACGGTAGCTTTATTTACCTACCTCAGGTAGCTTTATTTAGCTATTTCAAGGCAACTTTTCACAATTTTGCTTTTTATCTTAAAAAGAAAAAAAAGTCGCAAGTAAATCACTGTCTACTAATATTTATTCTAGGTACTATTTAAAAAGCAATCTAAAGCAGAGATAGTTTTAGCATTGCTGCGTTTGAACACTTTTAAGGAAAATATGTATTTCCATTGTTTGAGTAACTGAACATCACCATGTGTGCGATGAGGCGTGGATAAGTATGACTACTTCAACATGTTCACATTGTGCTCATGTTAACCAAAACTGGTTTTCTTTGTTATTTCACTCAAGAAGTAACTGTTAGGTCACAAATTAACTGTTGTATATAGCCCCAAAACTTTTAGAACTTTGATTGCAATTGCGCAGAAAAAGACATCTCCAGGAGTGATTTTTTCATGAATTGTTTTCAGATGAGTTATCACTGCATCAAAGTGCAATTTTCTGCACTTTCTGAGAAAAATGCTAATTTAAGAAATAAGTTTGATTTAGTAGCTAAATAAAGCTACTTCAAGTAGGTAAATAAAGTTATGTAAGTAATTCAAGCCACGTAGCTAAATCTAGTGATTGTACCAGACCTGATGACTGCATGTCCACTTCGAATGTCAGACACCTCGGCCCAACGACACCTCGGCCCATTGACATTTCGGCCCAATGACATCTCGGCTCAGACGGGTCGGCCCAAGATTTAAGACAGGTCGGCCCATGCATAAGACACCTCGGCCCAAGCAAAATTAAACTATGAAATACATGTATATATTTCCAATTTTTGGACTTGAATTAAAATGTTGATTGAAAAAAGTACATGAATAAACTATCAACCGACACTATCAAGATTTATAAAAAAAAAAAATAAGATCTTCCACGTGCACATTGACGATATTCAAGGAATGAGAAGACAATTTAATGCTATTAAGTAAGTGCTAATTGATAAACAAACAAAATACCGCAGCGCATCCTTTGGGGGGTCAAGCGCTTGTTATATTGGTGACAACAGGGGGTTACGGTAATTACGAGCAGACCTAATTAGGAGACAGTAATTGAATAATTTCTTAAGAAAAACATTTCCCTTCATAAATATATTATCGTCGCTTATAACTCGTTCGAGTCCATTTTTTCCCAGGCTACTTGTATCAAAGCATTTTTTTTACTTGCTAATACAAGATTAACGCGCGCAACCGTGATACTGCAGGAAAAATTTACATTTTCCACAAGAAATAGATGTAAATGAAAGCCTGATCTAATTAAGTTGGAAAAATAAAACGATTATATCTATCAAAGACCCCCGTTTTTTATTTTTAAAAAATCATTTAATTGTCAGAAAGAATAATAACACCAATGATAATATCATTTCAAATGCTGTGTTAATCTGTTAATTTTTTTTCCATCGTAAAATTTTGCTTGGGCCGAGGTGTCTTTTATATGGGCCGACGTGTCAACAATCTTGGGCCGACCTGTCAGGGCCGAGATGTCAAGCGTGACGAGCCGAGGTGTCGTTGGGCCGAGATCTCTGTCTACCTCCACTTCTCTCACGAAAACATTGCCACCATCTGAATAACTAGTGCATTTGGAACATATTTCAATGAATGAAACTCACCTTTTTAATTTTATTCGCCTCTATTTGCTTTGTCTTTTTTGGAGCAATAACTCGAGCTGTCAAAAAAAGTTAAAACATAAACATGGCACATGGCAAAACAAAACAAAAAAGGGTCGGGTTAGGAATGCTCAAGATAGGCAACACCATTATTAAATTATTTTATATTGAGGGTTTATCAAGTTTTACTAAATGATGTTTGCCCAATTCTTAAAGCTTAACCTCCTCTTTTCGGTCCTGAGCTTTTCTGTCTATGACTTTGTCTCCCTTTAACTCCTTTCGGAAGACTTCCTTTCGACTTAAACTTTCCCTGCGCCATATTTATCGGGTGATTCTAAATATTGAAGGGGTGCAATTCATTAATAAATCTTTCCAATCCTTTTTGATACCACTTTGAATACAAAATTTGGAGATTATTTTTAAAAGTATACATATCTGAATTTATTTCATATAAACTTAACTCAACAGTCTTTGTTTATAATTAAATAGATATTTTATGGATCCTAAACCCCCCTTCATGAAAAATGAATCGATCCAAAATTAGTGAATAAAAAAATTGGAATCAAGTACAGCTGACTTATGACAGATGCTGATGTAAGTATTTTCCAGATTCATCTTTTTCTGACAAGCTTTATATGTTTATTCTCCTTGCATTCGTTTTAATTTATTTTAAGGTAAATGAAGTTTTTAAATATTTTCCCTCCCGTTATCCCAGTTATCCAGGAATGTAAAATCCAAGGACTCGACACTCCCCTTAAAATGTTGGTAAATAAACATGATAAAATGAAGAATGATTCCATTCCAAATTTATATTTTTACTATTTCAAATTTAGATCTATGGGGCAAGCATGAGAACCATTTTATTATATGCAGGCAAACATTCAATAAAGCTGCGAATTTATGATGTTGCAGTTATTTTTATCAATATTGACGTTTTTATCATTTATCAATTTTATGGTTCTTGCATTCGAGAACAATACCATGCTATTTTATAATTTATTTGTCAGCTTGAATAGATGATCAGGAGAGTACCACTCAAAACAACTGTCATAATTTCAATGTAAACTATCCTAATGACTCTGAAGTTGAACCCCCTAACAAATGAGGACCATATAATGATAATTTAAAAAAATAATCAGATAAGGAGAATTAATAAAAATAATAATAATTTTTTTTATGCCTGCTGTATGAAGATTTTTTTTTATTAGACTTGGCACTTGAATTCAATGAATAATTAAAGTCATGGGTATGTGCTGTTAAGTTGGATCAAAATCTTGATTGATATTTTATAATCCTTGCCTTAGAGATTCATCTTTTCAAATTTCTTTCAGGCTGGCAAAATGTTTCTATAACTGCTAGCATAACACAAAGTAAGAAATGGCTGAGACGAAAGAAACACTGCTTGTTAACGGATCAGCAGAGCAGAAGTCTCCAGTCAGACGCATGCATTCAGCAACAGCTTTCACTGTGAGCGTGTCTAAGTCTGACGCTCCACATTTTGATCCTTACAAAACATTGGAAAGATCCCAGTCTGAAGCTGCTCTTCTGAAAAATCCACACAGTGCTGTTAAAACTGAAGATGGAGTTGCAGAAACATTTTCAGAGCAAGAAATGGGAACTGATGGAATGGACTTTGGGGCCCATAATGTATCTGAATGTTCAAAAGTGTACCTAGATTTGTCCACTGCTGAGGCATATGAAAATATTAATGAGCAAATTCCCTATCCAACTTCTTTGTTTCGAACTGGATCAGGTAGATTATTGGAAACAATCCCACAGGATGAAGAATTGCAAACAGATGATGTTCGATTTAGCCTCATGGGAGAAAGATCCATTTCCACTGAAAGTAATTCCAGTGCGAGTAGCCTTGATGAAAGGGCATCCAAGACCCACATGAAATCCCTAACTATAAAAGAGGAGTCTTCGAGGTACACAGTCTCCAGTTCATACTCTAAGGTTGGCAAGAGGTCTCCAGACTACACAACTAAAGCAAAAACCAACATGAAATCCACCTTCCAGACTTTCTCCTTAAACATTAAGCAGAAAATTAAACAACTTCAGATGGGATCCGTTCAAGAGCAGATCCAAGCCATGAGGGAGATCAGTGTTATCATAGATCAAGCATGGGCCATACCAAGTTTTGGCAGAGACTTAGCATATGGATTGTGTGATATTTTGAGGAATGAAAAAGCACTTGATATTATTGTTAAGAACTGTGCATCACCCTCTAATGATCTGATGAAGGCTTCAGCAAAGTTGCTTGATAAAATCCTGACCACTGGAAACAGGAAGAGGGTATCGGAAATAGGCCTGGACATTGTGGTCAAAATGGCTGTTTCCTCTAAAGGGGAAACAGAAATGGCCCGAGTTGTCACTGGTATATTAGAGAGTCTCTTTAAGATATCAGAAGATGTATGTGCAAAGCTGATATCCTTGGGAGGATTAGATGTTATTGTGTTTTGGTGTAGAAGTAATGACCGTTCCACCCTCAGGCATTGCTCCATGGCCGTAGCCAACATGGCCTTGTATGGAGGAAGGGAGAACCAGGAAGAAATGACCAAACACAAAGTTCCAGAGTGGTTGTTCCCCTTGGCTTTCAATGATGATGATGGCGTCCGATATTACGCATGTCTGGCTATAGCCATCTTAGTGGCCAACAAGGAGATTGAGACAGTGGTGCAGAACTCAGGGACTTTGGAAGTGGTTCTACCATTCTTAACAAGCCACACCCCAAGTCAGTTTGCTCGCATGGAATTATCCCACCAGCAGGGTCGCTCCAAGGACTGGCTGAAACGTCTTGTGGGTCTTCTATCCAGTAAGAGGGAAGAAGCCCAGGCTTTGGCTGCATTCCACTTTGCTATGGAGGCTGGAATTAAAATGGAGCAGGGTAAAAAAGATGTAAGTCTACTTGTAATTTGTAAATTCAATTACAGCATGCATTAATTTCTTTTATCAACTTAAAATGTTAGTCTACTGAAATTTGTAACTTCCATATAATATGTGTTAACTTTTTAGATAAATAAACTTATTATATATATGATATTAGTCAACTGAAATTTATAAATTCCATTGTATATTAATTTCTTTTAATTTGAACCTTTTTTCCATATTGACCTTAATTAACTGCAATTGGATGTACACTGTACATGCACTTTATGAATTTGATCCTTGTATAAATTCATTGAATTTTTAAACTGTCTGGTACATATGTGAAAAATTGTTTTTCGAAAATTTTCATGCTTTTGTAGGTATTCTATGAAATTGGAGCCATTGAACCATTGAAATGTTTGGCAAGTAGTCCCAACCCCACTACCTCAAAACTGGCATCAGAGGCCCTGAGGACCATTGGTGAGGAGCTTCCTCATAAGTTATCACAGCAGGTGCCCATTTGGAATGTCGAGGATGTAGTCTTCTGGGTCAATAGAGTAAGTTAATGGAGGATGTGTTTGTTACATGTGTAGATAGAAACTTTTTTTTTATAAAATGATGTTATACGTACAGTAGTATATAAATACTAATTTTGCTGTGTGTTTTTGTATATATGTACTTGTGACAAGAACAGAAGCATGATGATTTATTAGGTCACTTGGGACGAATGCTTAAGTGAGCTTTTCTGATCAAAATTTGCATGCTGTCTGTTGTTGTTATCTGATGTATTTGTCAAGGCAAGTGACATTGTACATTTTTATATTTTTCTTGTAGACTGGCTATGATGAGTATACAGACCGTTTTGCCAGATGTAAGGTAGATGGAGACCTTCTGCTGACATTGACTGAAGCAGATCTTGCCTGTAGCTTAGGGATGGATTGCAGAATCACTCAGAAGAGGTTTGGATATGATTTTGATACTGATCAGAAGGGAATGCCTTTCATGTAAATTCAAAGCATTTATCAGATTCCATCATAGGCTGATGCTGGAATGAAATTTTCCTCAAACAGCTTTTGTTTATTGAATATTTTTCCAACAGGTTTCTGAGGGATGTCAAAGATTTGAAAATTAAAGCAGACTACACATCATGTGACCCAACAGGGCTCAGTGATTGGCTGCAAGAACTTGGTTCTGAGTATAGGCAGTATACTTACACCCTTGTAAATAATGACATTGATAAGAACTACCTGATGCAAATGACTGATGAGGACCTCAAGGACTGTGGCATTACTAACAGCATCCACAGAAAAAAGATTTCTCAAAAAATTGCAGGTACTCATTTATGTATCTTAATTTTATTTGTTTCAACTTGTAAATCACCACATATTTCAAAACAACAAAATAGTACTGCATGTCAAAGCTTAACTATTTTCCCATTTATATATATTGATTTTAAAATGATTATGTAATGTGACATGAGAGATATGAGATTTATTAATTTTTATTGTTGATTAAATTACAGGTACATTTTACATGTGACTTTTTTGATATCTTATGTGTATCTAATTGCTGCATGTATTTAATTTTTTTAATTTAGTTTTCCTCACATGGTGAATTTGAGTTTTGTTTCATTTGCTTAAATTGATTTTATCTAGGGCCTAACTGCAAACATCTCTTTGAAGCTGAGGTATTAAAAGTGTCTTTAAAAATCTGGTGCTAGTGGGTGAAGGATTTGTTATAAGTAAAGGAAAGGCAATCAAATCTAGAGGATAGACAAAGAATATCTGTTTTGTGATTCTCAAACTTTTCATAGAGCCAGGTTTTCTGATAGAGGCTTTGGTAAATGATGACAAATTCCTGAAAATTCATCCTGAAGCAAAACTGATATAAAGTTTTAAAATAAAAATCATGATTTATTTAGTCTTCAAAGAGCAATGTACCAGTAGATATTTGTCGTGGATTTGGTTGCCTTTTGTTGAACTTGATAACACTGTAACAGACGGTGTAGTTTTTTTTTCTCTTTTTTTCCTATGCTTTCTCACAGAAGATTCCTTGTACAATATCCAACCTAAAACACAAGGTAACTCGGTGAATGCTGAATGTTTTCCCTCAAATCACCTCACCAGGAATAGAGCAATGATTTATAGATTAAATGAATTCGTTTTTGTTTTATCTCCCTTAATGTCCAGGGAATGCTTTATTGGGCTTGACCTACTTTAGGATACTTTTCAGATCTACATTAATAGGCTTTTTGAATTTTATGAATGACTTTTTTTATTTTTGGTTGTCAGACAATTATTTTCATTTATCTGATAATTTCAGAATATTTAATTATCTGTGTTGTGTGAACATGCAGATTGAATATGCTCTTTTTTTTTTAAATTTGTCTAAACAATTTTATTTTTAGAATGTACTAAAGATTTACTTTCTGTCAACAATCTATTAATGAATATCCTTGATGAATGCATTTCTGGAAGAAAAAATGTTGATATTCAATTAGATTATTGTAGCATGCACAATGAACTTAATATTGATATGAGGTCAAAAAAGGGGGAAAGGGGGGGGGGGGGGGTGATGAGCATTTTCTCCCTTTCCTGTACATACCCAATGCTCTGAATACCCAAAGTGCACTTGATACCTGGTGATTTAGATTGTACATTGTGTCAGGATTTTGTTGTGTTTGTTTTTGTCTTCTTCTGCACTGCAATCCCAACTTATTATCCTAGAAAAATACTTCAGGTTATTTAAATTAGTTACATGTATTAAAGTCTATATAATATGTTTATATATATAATCCAGTACTGTAGATTCCTTATTTTTTGCAAGTACTTATTTTCTTGAAATAGTTCTTTAACGTCAAATCGCGAGAACAATAATTCACGAGTGGACGGTTGATCAAGAGATTTTACATTGATTTCAGTATCATAAAAATAAAAGCGAGTAATTTTATTTTGCGAGTGGTGCTTTTGTCATAATTATGCAATAATTAATTTCTTGCATATATTTAGGAATCTACAGTATATGAATATACATGTATGCACTCTCTGAGTGCAGATATGACCAACATTACTCATACATACACATAATATTCCTCTTACAGATATTGTATTTAATGAATACATGTAGTTCATTCAAAAATTAAATCAAACTTTGTATAATTTATTATTATTTTTAAATCAACTAAAAGTATTACTCCATACTATACATATTACATTTAGTGATTTTTTTGTACCACTAGAGGTATATACGTACATTTATAATACACAATTATTGCAGTTTTTGAGGTCAATATTTAGCTACCTAAGGAGTATAGAATTCAGAATATTGTACTTCAAGGGTTGCTCAGTCATTGTTTTGACTGAAAAATCAGCAATAATTGTTTTATTATATTATGATTCAAATGTTAAATGATGCAAAGTTTTTTTACCAAATCTATCTTGCCTTCTTTCTTGAAAGTCCTAGCTAGTCAACTCAGAAAGAGGAGTGGGATTAAAATATTAAACATAACCAGTTGTATTGATTTGGAATTTCCTGATCTATTTTTGGTCTGATGTAGAAAAAAAATAAATGTTTATATATTTACCTGGATGTTGGGCACAGTTCTTAATCTATTATTTTTGTTCTAGTTTACTAGAAAAAAAATTCCATGTTATAAGCTCAATTGGAAGGTTTTGTGCAGGTGAACATAGCTTAGTATGACTTCTTCAACTTTCAGAGGGCTAGGAATTATTCAGTCATATAATAAATAATTCTTATTTAGAATGTATTCATATGCATATATGTATTTTTAATAGGATATTCTATATTAAGATAATACAAATGAATAAAAAAATAATTGAGGGACATTGTACTGTTATGTGACAGTTCAGAATGTACCTGTGGGTAAAAAATTGTAAAATGTTGGGGAGGAGCAAACACTTCTGCATGTAATTGATTTATTGCTCACAGAACCTTTGATACTAAATTCAATAATGTTAATACATGTGCATTTTTTTTCTAATGTTTATTTTATCTTTAACATAAATTATTTGTGATACAAATTGAAGTAACATTTACAAATATATTTTTTTGCTTAGTTATTATGTTTGCTTTACTGTTTTTTGAATTTTAGTCACGAGAAGTACAGAAAGCAGTATGGAGAGTGTGGACGCTATGGATGGATCAACAAACACAATCTCCAGACCCATCGATGTCTTCATCAGTTACCGAAGGGTCAACGGGTCACAGCTCGCCAGGTAATGTGGGACATTTGTCATCACAAAGTATGAAAGTGGGCTGTCTGATAAATAGTTCTGTGGCAGCCTAGGGCAAAAAAGTAAAAATTATGAATTTTTCAATTAGTCCAGTACAATATTTATTCAGTAACTTTTTGTAAGTGAGATGTGCCAAAAAAAAAAAAATATGGGAGGTGAATTTATATACATCAGTAATATGGAGTTGAGCAATTTAATTTACTAAAGCTATATTTATTAATATTCAAGTAAATGTACTTTCTTTCATTAGAAAAATACATTGGTAAGTGATGTACCTCAGGGATATAGAGGATATGAGGCACCCATAGTCTTTTCAGATTTAAGAAAGTGACAAGCCAGGGTGACTACTTTGTAACCATGTGATGAATGATGGGATGCATAACCATAATTTTTTTTTACATAGTCTTGAGTTTGCTCTTTTCCAGTTTACTAAAGGTTCACCTCCAGCTGAGAGGATTCTCTGTTTTTCTGGACATTGAGAAGCTGAAGGCAGGAAAGTTTGATGAAAATCTCCTTAACAGTGTTAGGCTGGCCAAAAACTTCATTCTAGTTCTGACCCCTAATGCGTTAGATAGATGTATGGAGGATGATGAACAAAATGACTGGGTACACAAGGTAAATTTAGCTGAAGATGTTTATCATTGTAGTCAAAATACAGAAAATTTAGTACATAAATAAGTATTCAACTTCAACTTTTTTTGTTTTCACGAAGTTTATATTTTGCAATTTTTTTAACCCCTTTTTTTGTCACACAGAACTATTTATTCACTCACCAATGATCTTTACCTGTATACAATTTTAAGGAAATTAAATCATACTGGTATTTATCAAATATCATAATTGCAAATTAGAAACTTTTTAAAAATTCATCTCTATATTACCGGTATAAGCACACATGTACTTTTGGGCAATAGTGGAAAAAAATCCTTTAAGCCAGTTAATTGTATTTGTTTAGGAGATTGTAGCAGCCATGGAAAATGGCTGCAACATTATTCCCCTGTTGGATAATTTTCACTGGCCTCCATCTGAGAAGCTCCCACAGGACATGAGACAGATAACATTCTTCAATGGAATAAGGCAAGTTTCTTTCCTGAACTTTGTAATTTTTCATTTGTATGATGCAACACAATGTTGAATTTTTTGCAACATTTTTTAGCTCTTCTGAGCCAAAGGCTCAAAGAGCTAATGCTATGGCCATTTGTGCGGTGTGCGTAAACTTTTTAGAATATGGGCCATAACTCAAGAACCCCTTGGCCAATTATTGTCAAATTTGTCACAGGGTATCCTTGGCCCAAGGGCTCCCTTTTATACTAAAACTGGGGTTGTGACCCTTTAACAAGGGGAGATAATTAGGAAAATAGAAACAAAAGTACTGGTTGCTAAAAAATCTTCTTCTCAAGAACCACTGGGCAGATTATCACCAAACTTACACAAAAGGATGAGGATATGTTGTAGATTAAAATTTGCACGGGGATTTACCCTGGGGCAAAGGGCGTGGTCTCAAGGTCACTTCAAAGTTGACCAAAAATTACATTTTATTAAAATGTTGATATTTTGCTTACTATAAGGACTAGGATCATCAAATCTTGTCAGTTGGTGCATCTAAGGACCTCATATCATGTTGACTCAAAAGTAGGTCACAGTGACCTACTTTTTAAATTTTGCGGCCATTCTTTTTCAAAATGATTTAGAGGCATATTTTGAACAATTTAAGGCCTATGATCATCAAACTTTGTCAGTTGATGCATCTTGGGTCCTCAAAGTACGTCAACTAAAAAGTAGGTCACCTTGACCTACTTTTTGAATTTTATGGCTAATCTTTTTTAAAACAATTAAGGTCAATAATTCGAATACGGGGAGGCTTAGAATCATTAAATCTTGTAAGATGATGCATCTTGGGGCCATAAAACATAGTTATTAAAAAGTAGGTCACAGTGACCTACTTTTTGAACTTTGCAGGCATTCGATTTCAAAGCGTTTTAGAGGCATAATTTGGACATTTTAAGTCCTACATGTATGATCATAAAACTTTGTAAGTTGATGCATCTTGGGTCCTCAAAAAAGGTCAACTGAAAAGTAGGTCACAGTGACCTACTTTTGAAAATTTATGGCGAAAATTGAATATTTCGGGTACTAATTGGCTTAGAATCATCAAACTTTGTCAGTTGATGCATCTTGGGTCTTCAGAGTAGATCGACTAAAAAGTAGGTCACCGTGACCTACTTTTGAAAATTTATGGCTTTAATTAAATATTTCGGGTACTAATTGGCTTAGAATCATCAAACTTTGTCAGTTGATGCGTCATGGGTCTTCGGAGTAGGTCGACTAAAAAGTAGGTCACCGTGACCTACTTTCGGAAAATTTATGGCTTTAATAAAATATTTCGGGTACTAATTGGCTTAGAATCATAAAACTTTGTCAGTTTAGGCGTCATGGGTCCTCGGAGTACAACAACTGAACAGTAGGTCACGGTGACCTACTTTTGAAAATTTATGGCTTTAATCAAATATTTCGGGTACTAATTGGCTTAGAATCATTAAACTTTGTCAGTTGATGCATCTTGGGTCCTTGGAGTAAAACAATTGAAAAGTAGGTCACTTTGACCTACTTATAAAATTTTATGATTATAATTTTAAAAAATATTTTAGGTATTAAATGGCTTAGAATCATCAAACTTAGTTGATGGGTCCTTAGAGAATGACAAGTGATAAGTAGGTCACCATGACCAACACTCAGGTACTAATTGGCTTAGAATCATCTTGGGTTCTCAGAGTGTGAATTGGAATTTCAAGGGTTTATGTAAATATACAGGATACTTCGAGGCTTCAAATAGAAGTGATAGGTTGTACAGTTTATCAGAAGAGCGATTCAAGGCCCATGGGCCTCTTGTTTAGTCTTGGTATGGAAAAAATTTGTTTGCCTTGCATATCTTATTTAAATGATGCAACTATCAACAAATGAATTTTTGCAACATTTTTCTAGCCTTGGTGTGGAGAAATTTTGTTTACTGTGCATATCTTAAGATAATTATGTATTGAAATTCCAGATTTTGATGTTGAAAGCTGGTTATACAACCGTTTTTGACAATTTTTTGTAAATTAATATACTGGATTACAGAAAGGTGACAGTGATAAAACTTTTTTCGTAGATGGATCCATGACTACCAGGATGCTTGTGTAGACAAACTGGAGAAATTTCTTCGTGGGGAAATAAATATGACACACAAACGGGCTGCACTCTTCCAGATGGGCTCCTCCTCTGAGGGTGTGGTAGATGGAGGAAAATACAGCTCCAGCGAAGAAAGTAGTCCCAGCATTGATGTGTCACCCAATCGGGATGTCTCTTACAGCAGTTGATGGGTCGCAATTAAACAATTATACACCTCTCGATGCATGATTTTTTTGTCTACAAGAACTTCTGCAAATGAGCATAAATTGAATTGTTAAAGTACAATTTATGTAAATGGCAATTGGAAGTTCTACTTTTCATTTTTTTTTTTCACAGTTTAAATACAAAATAACATGTAAATGCCAAAAGTTTACTTTATCAAGAAGTAGAGGAAATTTTTAGGGTGCTTTCTTTAAATCATGTATGCCTCTAGAGTATGATGATTTCAACTGATTAAAATTCATTCAAAATTAGATGTCTTTACATTTACAGTGGAGCCTTGTTAATCAGGATGCCAATAATCCAGATGATTCACCTTCTGGACGAAATTTGTGAGAAACAATTTATGTTTAGATATACCAAGGATGTTTCATTACTTTGGTCTTTAATCCGGATGATTTATTCTGGAACACAAGCGTCCAGATTAACTAGGCTTGACTGTATTGATTTAAAAAAAAACAGTTTTTTTATATTTACAGTGTATAATACATATGAATAGACAATCCATTCAATTTTTATGTCCCATCATAAAATGGCCGAGGGCATATGGTAATACCCTGTTCCGACATTCAGTCATTCTGTCATCATTGACTTTCCATTCATTATCTCGGCAACAGTTGTACGCATTCAACTCAAATTTGACAAGAATATGACATAGGAATAGGCAGGTCAAGTTCGAATTTCATTGGTCCGATGATTTTTGACAGTTAATCCTTCTTGAACTTTGAAAAAAATAAGAAATTTTCAGTTTCGGCTCTCTTACTTTTGTAGGGATGTATGTATAAGGTTGAAATTACATATGCAGGTATTTTACCAGAAAATGTACAGGTCAAGTTCGAATTTGGTAATGGTCCGATGACTTTTGACAGAGTTATCCCTCTTGACTTAGAAAAATTAAGAAATTTTCAGTTTCCACTCTCTTACTCTTGTAGGGATCTATGATAAGGTTTGAATTGCATATGCAGATACTTTAACAAATTTAAAACTAAATATGGTATTTGAAATTTTGGCTGCCTGTGGGGGCATTCGTGGATTTACGACACATCTAGTTCTTTTCTTAAATCTCTTTATATATGTACACCTTGAGACATGGTATGGCACTGTATGTCTGTCATTCCATCTGTCTGTTCAGCAATCTATGAACTTCAGTTTTCCTAAGTTAGTCATGCTTTGAGGTAGGCTCATGCTCTCTCTCTCTCTCTCTTTCGATTAATCAGAATATTTGATACTTGATGTCATATTGATTTGTAGAGTAGGTTTAAGATTTATAAATTCTGCCCAATTCTTACCTAGTCATAGCCTTGGAATCAAATTTACTATATATTTATGAGTATTGCAAAGGGAGGTAAATCCGAGATAATGCTTACAGGTTATGGAAAAAACTTGGTGTTCATTGTTTGGGGGAAAATCAGTTCAACAAGTTGATCTGCATGGATAATTTAAATTAAGTCATTTTTGATAAATTTTGAAGTCTTTTAGATCATTGAAGACATACTTTTTTGATTTTAATTTAAAGTTATGGCCCTAGAAAACTAGAAATATCTTTGGAAAGGATGTAGGTATGTTGAATGGATGTATATTGAACGCTTGGTGGTATTTTGTTCAGTATATGTATTTCATGAATTTTTGCCCACCTTTTTACACCATTTTACACTTTGTTTGTTTCATATGCTTATTGATTGTGATATTAATGGCTTAAGGGTTATATACATGTAACAAAATTGAGGTTTGCCGACGATGCATTTGTCATGGATAAGTACCATCTTAAAACTAAGAATTTGAATCTTGTTATCTTTTACACAATATGATATATGTATATGTATACCGGTAGTTATCCATTTATCTTTTTATTAATCATCCTCATCAGATGTTTTTCCAGGTTTTGAAATCCTTGCTGCACTCTTAAAAAGTATTATGTGAATATTTTCTTTAAAGTCCATAAATGTATAAAATTTTGAATGTGTTTGGTAAGACACTTATCATTACAATCCATACACAATAAACATATGATTAACAAACATAGATACTTTTTGGTCTAATAACAAAATACGAAACAGGTTTGATGACTTTGAATACTTAAAACTCATTTAGTTTTTCATATCTGAGTGACCCACATAAATTAAAATTTGAAGCTCATGGAAAGAAATGTCTAACACTTAAATTCATGGAATTTTATAACAACATGTGTGATCATATATGTCATTTTTTGGGGTTTTGTTTTGCACATTCTGTACCCTAGAGGTATGAATGGTAATATTCCAGTCATGACTGTAAAAATAATAATGAATGTTTCATAGTTCTTTGGTATAGAAATGTTGCTTGACCTTGACATCATATAATTTTAATAAATGTAACAAGAAGTGACTTGCACATGATCACTATTTTCATGATTTTGCTGAGCACGATGTCCATTTTGAGCAAGATCAAATGTACATATATTTGTTGATATGCATCTTTAGTGTAAATATTTGTGAATATTAAGGGGGACAAACTTCTACTCACTAAGTGGAATTTTCCTGTAAGATGATTTTCTAACAGAAATTGGAGATTAAAGGGAATTTCAAGCAAATTTACTTTACCATTGCATGGGGCTAAATTGTGGGAGATACATGATATGGGCTAAATTTTGGGAGATATACCATTTTGGGCCAAATTTTGGAAGTTACACAATTTGGGGCAAAATTTTGGAAGATATATTATTGAGGACAAAATTTTGAAAGATATACCATTTTTGGTAAAATTTGAAGATGAAAATGGGAGATATAAATGTGAAGGTGGAAGTACAAGTCCTCTGAAATTTTTGAGTACAAAATCCCAATTTGATTTTTGCATGGTCTTTGTCATGTCATGTAAATCTGTAAGTATGACCCATTCACAATGTGTTTATATGTATGGTTTGTTTCACAATGTGTTCATCTTTATTGTCATTTTGTGTGACATCTGCCAACAGATCCTGTTAAGATCTGGAAATCGGACCAAAATTTTTCCCTCAAACAAGGTAGTCAGATTTGTCAACTGCATAATGATGAATTTTTGAGCAACTTCATAATACATGTAGCTTGAAATCCTACACCCATAATGTTGTTACATTATTACATTGAATGTAATCACCTGTGTTCTGTTGTTGTTGGGTGAAGCATTATGGGTTGCTGTGATACTGAGAGTCTTAACATGATGTGATATTTATTTATAGCTTTGTAATCATAGTGATTATAAACATTTTTATGAGGCTATGTCATTTTTTGGTTTCTTTCCAAATATATTGAATTTCACTGTAGACCCAGTACATTAATGATAGATGCATATGATTTAGTCACATGACTAACCATTATAAACTGTTTGGAAAAATGCTTTGATTAGTAGATTTTTTATTGCACAAATCAGATTTTTTTTTTTTTTGGGGGGGGGGGGGACTAATCTTTTATGTCAGTTGGTGCATGTGTCTTGATTTGTTTGATGGTTATGGTAACTGTCTAACTACAAAATTATGAGAAAAAGATTTCTATTCTTAAATAAAAGACAAGATCACAATTTCATGTTAAGGTAAGATTTAAAGGTGTTTATACTGCTGGAACACTTAACTGTGTTTCCCTAATTTTTTGTTAGAGAGGAGGGTTTGTTCAAAAACAAATGGTTTATCTTTACATGTACAATAGAGGATTAACATATATAAGACATCACAGCTATAGTCACATTTATAGGATTATCTGCTTTTTATTTGTTTTTACAATGTACTTGGTAATTTATCTCATACTTGCATACCAGTCTATTTATTAAAAACTGCATTATCTCAGGAACTAAACTGATTAAGAATAAACAATACAAACAAAAAAAAATAATACATAGATTGCTATTAATATATGTTTTGACTGATTTAGAATAGAAATGACACAATAAATTCCCAAAACACAAAGAAATTGTAAGTATTCTTTGGTGTTCAAATTTAAGACTGGGTGCCATTTTCTGTATAAACCTATACAAATTTTATGACATTATTACAAAATCTTACAAAATTTTTACATTTACTTGGTCAAACATGCATTATTCAAGTTATCTATAAGACTAGAACATTGCTGATTTCTGAAAAAAATGTTTATTTTACATTGTATTTATCCTCAAGTTAAACAAATTATATATTGATGAAAAAAAAGTGTACGAGTACATGTTTCCTAGTTTTGCTCATTATCTTTTGTTGACTTTATTTATGCAAATGTTTAGCATTTGTTGCATGAAGATTATTGATTGCAGATCTAGAAATCTCTATGAAAATGTTAATTCCACTTCAGTATGTTTATGTATTGTTTTATTGATTTGCTTTTTAGCTTGATTTTTATTTATTTATTCATTTGACTTTTTTTCTTTTGTTGGTGGATATCTTTCTCATAAAAATATAATAATATATTGAACAGTTGTCCAGGTATTTATAGTAAAATGTTACAGGTAACTTACAAGATAGATGCTTTTGATAAATTAAAAAAAAAAGTGATTACACAATTAATCAAAGTACTGAATCAAGGTAATGGCTTCCTGTAAAATGTGATTTCTATCCCCAGTAGGCAAAAGTAAAAGCTTAAATTGATGAGAAAACAATGAAAATCTTTGAAAACAAAAAAGGTGAGTTACATAACAAAATTTAAATATAGGTAATTAAAGATTACGAAGCTCACCTCAACAATGTTATCTATAAGTAAGGCAAATTTCACAATAAATTTTTTTGGTTGAAAATTTTGGTAAGTTCCAACATCCAAAGAAATAAGTCTGGAAGTTTTCATCCTTAGATGCACCATCTATGCAAGTTTAATCATAACAGGCCATAAAATTATATAGCTACTCCAAAAAATTGCCCTGGTCTCTCATCTGGAAAATGTAGGTCAGATTCAGAATCCAAAGCAGGTCTGGAAGTGTCCATCCCTAGATATAACATCCATGCTTATTTGGTTAAAATATGGCTAAAATTCACTCAAGTGGAAAATCTAGGTCGGATCCAGCATCCAAAGCAGGTTGGTTAGTGTACATCCCTAGATGCATCACACATGAAAGATTGGTCCAGGTAGGGCTTATAGTTACTTGGGAATGGACCTGCTCCAAACATTGCCAAAACCTTAACCTGGTTGCTCATGTGAAAAATCTAGCTCAGATCCAGCAT